GAAAATAAAATACTAAAGCACAAAAAAAGAATGTAGAAAAGAATTTTGGGGCGTGATAGCTATGATGATCCAGCAAAGGAGACAGAAGGAAAGGTCAGACAGTTAGGAGGGTAGCCAAGAGAGAGCAGTGTCATGAAAACACATAGAGGAAAGTAGGTGGGTCAGCTGTTTAAAATTGTGAAGAGATCAAGAAGAATAACGATTAAAAGGCCATCAGATGTGTTAAAATTAAGAGATCATTTGGTGCAAAAAAAAAAACCCCAAAATGGTTATTAGTTATTTGGAAATTTTCAGTTGAGTGTTAGGAACCAGACTGCATGGGGTTGAGAAGTGAGTGAAGAGTAGACAGCCTTTTCTAGGAGTTTGGCTGTAAGGGGAGGAAAGAGAATGGGGGAGATAGAGGAGGGTAGCCCTGGATTTTGACCATTCTCCTTAGCTCTTGTATTCTTTTATCTGGCTAATGTCAGGTAAGCCATATGCTTTGACCAGAGATGTACTTACTGGCACCATCTGGTTAAGAAGTAATCAACAAATGTTTGTTTGGAATAACTATGGCATATTATATTCATTCTTCCTCCTGCATTTTGTAGTAATAGTTGATTTCTATATTTGCCTGTGGAGGATGTGCATAAACTGTTCTACAATTAGCATGTATGTATATACATTTACTTTTATTCAATTAGATATCCTCTGTATGGTTACTTTCCATACTTCATTGGGTCCTTTTTATGGGTAGCCTGTTAATTTGTATAACCTAGTGAATTATATTTTTATCCACCTAGCTTTCCAGAGGAAGGAGAGGCAGAAACCCATTCCTCATATTGGTCTAGGGATTGCTACATGGACTGGACACAGGTCTAACATGTAATTACCAAGAGAGCCTTCAAGGAAGAGCAGGGTTCAAAGGAAAGAACTGTGGAGGGAAGGGGATTCTGTCCTGGGTTGTTAGATTCCTGGGCTGTGGCTTTCTGTGGCATAACAGCAAGTTGAGCTCCTACTAGTCAGTTATTCCCTGGAATATGGATTTTTCTGCCCACTGAAGATGAGGCTCTGAGGAGGATGGTAACAGCTACATTAGAGCATTAGTGGAATTGCTGTTCTACATAGAGGGAGAAAAGATCAAACCCAGGAGAAGTTAGAAGACCCAGCAAGGATCCAGAAAAGTTAGCTAAATTACATTTCTGTTTTATAGTGCCCGAGGGTACCTATCATTGTCCCTGAGCAAATGAAGGACTTTTGGTTCCCAGTTAAACGTTTCTCTGCATGTAGGCCTTACGTATCTAGAGTCCAGGGATGTGGAACCTGTGGCCTTCCAGGTCCTCAGGTGCAGCCTTTTGACTGAGTCCAAGTTGTACAGAACAGTTTCTTTTATTAAGGGGATTTGTTCTGTGAAATTTGGATTCAGTCAAAGGGCCGCACTAGAGGACTACATGTGGCCTCGAGGCCGCAGGTTCCCCACCCCTGATAGGTAGTTGTACAGTTATCCCTTCCACATCTTGGGGATTAGGGGGTTAGGGTGTGAGGGTGTGGGGACCTCTGTGATCTGGAAAATCTGCATAAAATTTTTTGGTCCTCCTTTCATACCAGAGAAGATGTTTGAAGTTTTTGTCTTTTGTTTTTGTTTTTTTTGTTTTGTTTTGTTTTTAGGCAATTGGGGTTAAGTGACTTGCCCGGGGTCACAAAGCTAGTAAGTGTCAAGTGTTTGGTCTGAGGTCAGATTTGAACTCAGGTCCTCTTGACTTCAGGGCCGGTGCTGTATCCACTGCGCCACCTAGCTGCCCCAAAGTTTTTCTCTTTTATACGGTGTTCACAGTACCTTATTGTAAAATTTGGGTTAGGTATTTGGTCGTAGGTGCTGTCGTCTGCTGGCCTTCATGTGTCTTCTGTGGCTTCTGCAAAACTTCCCCCAAATTTCCATTTAATTTCTTATTCTGACCAGCATAAGAAATTATTGAAACCATGTGGAAGGGATAACTATAGACCAGGAGTGAGGAACTTTTGGCCTAGAGGCCATGTGTGGCCCTCTAGGTCCTCAAGTGTGACCTTTTGACTGAATCCAAACTTCACAGAACAAATCCCCTTAATAAAAGGAATTGTTCTGTAAAACTTGGACTCAGCCAAAAGGCTACACCCAAGGACCTAGAGGACCACACGTGGCCTTGAGGCTGCAGGATCCCCACCCCTGCTATAGACTCTTTGAAGGCTGGGAGTGGTTTTAGTTTTCACTTTTCCCCTAGTCTCTACCTCAGTGAATTCCCTGAGGTTCTGAGAAGTTAGGTTTGTACTTAATCAGGTTTGTACAACTAGTATAACCCAGAGTTAGAACTTGAACCCAGATCTTTCCTCACACTAGCCCTTTATCCACTACTCTCACCTTGTACTTAGTATGTGCTTAATGAGTGCTCATTGAATTGACTTGAAAGAGCCTTTTTTAAAGTTGAACTTGTGTATATTAGCATATAGGGTTATTTTGGTCTGCAGAATGTTCTGTCTTGCAAATTGCAAGGTATAAGAGTTTTAAGAAGGTAGAGATCAGTTTGTCTACCTTTCACTGACTCTACAGGGACCTGAGAAAGTCCAGCAAGCTGGAAGAAGAGGAAAAAAGAGGGAACAAAAAGTTAATTGAGAATTTACCAATCCTTCGTGTTACACAACTGACTTTCAGATTTAGTCTAACCCATCATCCTGTGGCTGACTGGCATGAAATAATGTATCAGATTAATTCAGAAATTTATGGAGGGGTTTTAGATTTCTTTCAATACACAGTCTAAGAGATACTGAAGAATCCTGCTTTTAAATGGAGGGCACCATCTGGCAAAGGTGGTTTTTCTTTGAATTTAATCTTAATTGGAATTCTTTTATGGGCATATTTTTATTCATTATACTTTGGTGAATTGCAAATTGTAATGGTATAGACATTGGCTTTGATAAGATTCTAATTGGAGCAATTTCATTATTGGAGGATTAAAACTGATTTTCAGTGACATGATTGGAAGGACTGGTATTGAAGGGATTGAGAGGGAAGAGTCCCACTCATGCAAAATGTTGTATATAACTTGGAACTTGGTGTCATCTTCCACAGTGGATTTCTGGATATATCCAGCATGGACTATTAAATTGGTAGTAAATAGACATGGAATAACTAGTCTGTGTGAATAATATGGATACTTACACCCAGAACCATCTCTCTCTCTACTTCTCTTGCTTTTGGGTAAGCCCCAAAACACCCCAACAGGAATGACTTTGAAGGGGGACCAGGAAAGATATTTTTGTTGTTTTGTCTTATCTTTTGAAGATACTTCACTAAAAGTTTCGGCCTTTACTTTTAACTAGTCTGTGTTTTTATATTCTCCCTCTTGTGAAGGTAAGCCCTCTTTATCAACCTTATGTATATTTCTTTTTTGTCTTAAACCCTGGTATATATGATTTACTGTTAGAAGTTCTTAAAGTTAAATTCTTAACATATTTAGTTATTTGAGCTGTTCTTTTTTGATGAACAAGGATTTGGATGTTTTTGTGCAGTCATGTCTCAAGTGTGATAGATGAACTTGGTTATATTGTGTGCTTAGTATATTAATATTTGTGTGTTCCAAAAGAGACTTGTTGGGTACGAATTTGCCAAGAGGACTATTGCCAAAGTTAAAAGATTTTAGTTCCTGAAACTCTTGGAGTCTGTGTAAAGAAAGTACGCATCAGTGCATTTCCATTAACCCTAAGTGGAATGGAGGAAAATATAAGCAAAAATAATGTGGTCATACATAGTTATTTTCAGTTCCCATAGATACAATTGTGTATTCATAATCTTGGCTAAATTTTACCCAGTTTGTCAATGTCCTGATGCCTTGCCTATGTACATTTGGAAAGAATTGTGAATTCTAGACTTGGGTTGTTGCAATCTTAAAACTGAAGTGATCAGTCTTGAAAACAGATTTTTCTGAGTTGAGAAAGAACCTCTAGACAGAGCACAAAGACTTTAAAAAGTCAACGTCAGGAATTCCATTCTGTAAGATAACAATTTTAGCCTTGAAAAGTAGAGAGGGCCTTCTTTATCTCTAACAATGTAATCTTGGAGTCTTGTAGTTTTTTCTTTGCTAATAAGTACAAAAAACAAAAGGAAGGAAAAACACTAGATTTAGAAGTAAAAATTAATGCTGTAGTATTGCAAGAATATTGGATTCTGGATCGGTGGGCTTGAGTCCTGCCTCTGATACTTAATAGCTTTGTGACCACAGGCATGATCACTTGTCCTGTCAGTGCCTTAGTTTCCTCGTCTGTAAAGCTAAAATCCTACTGTTTATAATATTTACCTCAGAGTTGCTGTGGGGATTGAGTTGATATATGTAAATCATCTTATTAACCTTGAAGCAATCTTTTACTTTATGTGCTAGTTTTGTTTTATGTGTTACTGAGTTTTCTTGTCCTTGTTTGAAGAACAGTTTTTCTAATGGCCATTAAGTTAGAAATGATACATTTAGGCCTAGAAGAAACTCCAGATGCCTGGATGAATGGAACAAATGACCCTAACATAAGGTCAAGATTCTTGTGTGTCAGATATAGCACCTCCCACTCCCAGATATAGCACCCCTGCTAGGGGTTCAGCCTAGGGTTGGGTAGGGGATTGTCCACCCCAGGGGTAGGGAACCTGTAGCCTTGAGGCCCCATGTATCCCTCTAGGTCCTCAAGTGCAGCCCTTTGACTGAATCTAAGCTTTGCAGAACAAATCCCCTTCATAAAAGGATTAGTTTTGTAAAACTTGGACTCTGTCAAAAGGCAGTACCCAAGGAACTAGAAGGCCACAGGTTGCCTCAAGGCCACAGGTTCCCCACCCCTGTTCTACCTTCTTGCTGTGTTATAGCAGGTTAATTATAGTAGCTTTGTTTTAGATGTTGAGGCTGGTAATATTCAATTACACATGCACTGCTTCTTATACTAGGTATATTTTGGCCTGGCCTAGCCACTGTAATCAACGACCTTGAACAGAAATCTCATTTTCCCCACAGGTTGCCTCAATAGATTGAATTTGATCAAGGCATCCTTTCCTTCTGCCTTTCTAACTCAGATACCAGAAGAGCAGACCAACAGCTTTGAAAATATCACATCCACTTTCACCTCGGCAGATAATGGGTGGAATGAAGTGTGGAAGACTATCTCCTGGCCTCCACTGACTTGGCAGGATAGGGAATGTGGTCCATTGAGGAGGTTTGTCAGTTGAAAAAGTAGCCTCTTTATTGTTTTTGCCTCATATCCTTTTACACCTGGAGGCAAAGGACCTTATATCTGGATGGATTGAGGTTTTGAAGACTCACATTGCCTACTGGCCTCTACTGCCTGGGCAAGCAGGGAAATTTGACCCACTGAGGAATTTTTATCAGTTGAAAAAGTAGCCTCTTTATTGTGTTTGCCTCTTCTATCCCTTTACATCCAGAGGCAGAAAACCTTATATCTGGATGGAATGAAGTTTTGAGGACTTACACTGCCTGTTGGCCTCCACTGCTTTGGCAGGCAAGAGAGTCTGGCCCACTGAAGAGTTTTTATCAGTTGAAAAGTTAGCCTCTTTATTGTTTTAGCCTCCTACATCCCCTTTCATCTAGAAACAGAGTACCCTTCAAAATGGGTAGAAGGACATGTTGAAGACACTCACTGTCTATTGGCCTCTTACTGCCTTGGCATCTGACCCACTGAAGAATTTTATCAGTTGAAAAATTAGCCTCTTTATTATTATAGCCTGTTTAGCTGACAACATGATGAGTGACTGAATGAAGAAATGGATGAGGAAAAAAAATTGACAGGGCAACTCATCATTATCCTTGCCTGTTTCTTCAAGGAGAACCATAATCTTGACATTGCTTTTGAAATCACTAGTTATTCTTGGGGAATGATGGAGCAATAGGACTTGATGTTCTGGATAGCAGACTGAGACCCTTAAGGCCAGGTGCCTGCATAGGCCCAGGATGGAGAACCCACGGCTTTGGCTGAATGCTTCCTACAGAGAATGAGTAGGGTTGGTCTAACTGCCAGGGGATCCTCATCCTGGGGGAAATCAAACTTTGATGATGGACAAATTATACAAACCTGTGAATCTACCTCATTTGACTGACAGAAGGAAGTTCTCCAAATTACCCTCTTGGAGAGTGATACCACTTGAGATTTTCAAAACTGACTTAGAAAAACTAATAGAGCATTTGGGTAGCAGCTCTGAAAATCTTCACCCTAACCTCATTCATCAGGGTTGTGTATATTGGCCTGTGAGGACCACCAGTAAATAAAAATACCAATTTGGAGTAGGACTGCACCACAAATTAAATGTGCATACCTATGGAAGCCTGCTAGAGAAGCTCAGGCTATGTTGTACAATACAACTAGAGAACAAAAGATTCAGGCTGCCTACCTGGCCATTTAACACTATCTGGAGTACCTCATTCTGGCCAAATTTTTCCCAGGTGGCACAGTGGGATATCCAAAGGCTACTAGACAATATGAGCATAGCTGGGGTGGGGGTGGGGGTCGCCCATTCGTGGTCTGTCTTATCTGATAAGCCTGACTAGCTTCCTATGTATATGTTCTGTCATGAGCCTGTGCATGTACAGATCTTTATAAAATTTATTAGATATTTTGTAGTTTCCATACACCATTGTGTCTTTTCTATATAGCTCATCAAATTGTATAATTTAATAATTCCTATTTGTGACCACCTGGCTGTCTGAAGCAAGGAGGGCAAGAAGCTTACCCGCTCCTACTAGTCTAGGGATTGATATGTCGACCAGACACAGGCCTAACATGGAGTTGTGAAGTCGAAAAGAGGATCTACAGCTGAAGATTGAGGGCTCCTTGGAAATTGATCATTCATTAATGCAGAAAGTAATTGGACTGCCTGAGACTGCCAGTAAGACTATGAAGGTAGTGGTCAACAAAGGAGGGAGTGGGGTGGGTTATCCCAGTCATTCCCTTGGGATGTTATTCTCCTTGGAATGGGGGATGGGGTGAGGGGAAGAGTGTAGAAGTCTTGCCTTACTCTGTTTGGTGATATTTCTTGGGAAGAGTAGGGAAGGAAAGACTAATAATGCATTTCATATTCACTTTCACAGATCTGGAATCAATGTGTATACTTGAGAAAGACAGCTTGAACATTGAATTGGAAGCCCACTTCATCAACTGCTTGGGGCTGGAAATGCATCACATCCTTCAGAGAGACAAACTTGCCTATGAACTTCTCATTTGAAGAAGCTAGCAACATGCTGCTCTGAATCTATGCATCTAAGTACTGCCCCCATTTCCTCAACTAGTCAACCTTTGTCTCCCCCCTGAACAGTATCCCCAAGTAATTTATTCCTCCTCTGGCCCAGAAGAGACCTCATCTCCAATGTGCATATCTTACCCTCACCCTGGGAGTGGGAGGGACCCCCCCACCCCCAGTCATAGCATGTTTCCCAAGAGAGAATTGTTTGCCTTCCTTGAGTTATTATCTGTATGTGGGATCTAGGGATGTAGATATGCTGTGCAAATGCTTTGAAATCTCTTTTCTCTGCCCTTTAATTTGAGACAGGGCCCCAGGGGCACTCACTCTATAGTAAAGTCGGTCAGTTTTTGTGGAAGAAAAAAGGTATTGCATCATCATATTGGATCACTAAATACAGAATGTATTTTTTTGAGGGGGCTTGACTGATTTAGTTTTATGTTAGCCTCTTAGATTTGAGCAGTTCAGATGTGATTGGATTTGGCTATATTATGTGGGAATGCACCTGATTTGTGATGAACTAGGGATGGTATTTTTTGTAGCGTAGTTGATCATTTGTTTTAAATAATAATTGGAAAATGATGGTGCCGTATCTTTGTAGTAGAGAAATGATATAGGTATTGTGCATGCCCTTTAGAAACCTGACTGGAGAGAATCAGTTAGTGAGACCAAAGTAAAAAGGTAGGAGAATATAGATGGACATATCACAAAATGTCTATTTCCTCTTCCTTTGTCCTTGTTCACCATTTCAGGCTATTGTCTTTATACTACCAGTGGGATGGATGACCACCACTGTCTGCTTGTGACTCATTGCTGCTTGCTGTTGGCTGTTTAAGCTGCAGCCCAAGTTGGGCACAGTGGAGGACGAATTGGGACAGATCTTGCATAACTGCAGTGACCATGGAGCGACGTGGAGCCAGCAGGATGGGACACAGGCTGTTGCTGTTTTGAGAGAGACTTTCGGCTAGAATTGGACTGGAATGGTAGTAACTCCTATGAACCTCAGCTCCTGGTGAGATCGGGCTAACAGGACCGATCCCAAACCCTAGTGTTTTTCTCCTGTTTTCTCTGGTTGTTCACAGAGCTGATTTCAGCAAGTTCCAAAGACAATTCTTTCCCTTATTCTTTTCCGCATCTATAAGCTGGGAGGAGGTTTGGGGGGAGACAAATCAAAGGATGCAGTTTCTTTACAACTTTGCTGTATGACAGCTCCTTTACTGTGTTTTAATAAACCATGTGGTTGCTGAAAAGCAAGTTGTCTGAGTGTTATGAATTAGGCTGATAGCAGATTTCCCATATATGGGGCCAAGGTGGAACCACTAAGAGCCAAGGGAAGATTTCTGTAACTTCCATTTTTCAGTGCAATATTTACTTTCTTCTCCCCTAGATTGTAATTTGGAATTGGCTATTGAGGGCAGCTAAAGCTGTCCAGCTACTCCCATAGTGGGGAGGGAAGAGAGTGTAGAAGGGGGTCTGAGAGGTGTAGAAGGGCATCTCAGAGGTGTAGGTGAGCAGTGTTTGGTGAGCTTTGGGACCATTGAGATCATCTGGAAAGCCTGCCACGTGCGTGTTGCATGTGCCTTGATGAAAACATTTGGCTGGTGACTTGAGCATGAGACCTAGTTAAAAGAGGGTCTGTTATACTCCCTTCCTGGTTAATTAATTGATAGTCTGCTTTTCTATAGGTTGAAGAAGGCAAGTATATACCAACTAAGCGTGAGCTGCTATTGATATTGAGGGATGTAGGACATAACATCAGCTATACATTTTATCTGTACCACTGTCATATATATTTTGTTTTGATGGTTTCTTTTGATTGTTTCAGTTTTTCTGTATATTTATATTCTATGTAGTAATAAATATTCAGTGTTGTTTTAGGAAATTTTATAAAACTGTGCTGTTAGTGGTTGGGAAAGGACTTTAATCGTATTGGTAAGATCCAGCATGTTACTGTGAGGGTGGCATCTTCCCTGAGGATCGAAGTACCATGAGTGCTTTATTAATTAGAAAAATAAAATTTTTTGTCATGGGAGTTAAAGCATTAGCTTGTGAGCCTGATTTGTTCTTAGTTCTATACATTAGACAATATACTTCTATTTTAGTAGCCTTAATAAATTGAGAAACCAAACTAGAAGTTACTAATGTGAGAGGCATGTTGTTGAATTGGCAACCTACCAAGGGTAGATGGTCCATAGGTTCCTTCCTGAGTGCTTATGGACTTTAGTCTGTAATGCTGGCCTTGAAAGTACATTCTGACTACTGAATTGGCTCTGATAAGGATTCAGGAAGTAGCTTCATAAAGCTCTTGGCTGAACTTTTCTGAAGACACTCATTGTTTTCCTTTCTTGGAAGTAACAGCCCCTATGCAGGGGGATGTATAGCAAGCATATTGGGTAGAGAACCCCTGCATAGATAAAGTCAAATACTGCTAGATCCAGGTTTGAATCTTACCTGTCACTGTCTTTAAAAAGGGGGAGAGAGGACAGAAAAAAAGCAAATCTTCCCCATAGTGCCTTAGAGCAACCTTTGAAAGAAAAAAAAATTACCAGACATTGTTTTGTAAAGGGAAAGAATAAAAAACATGCAACTGGATATTGTGTAATTATAATGGCAAGACTGATCCTGGAAAACAGATGAAAATACACCCCCCTCCCTCATTTTTTTTAAAGAGATGAGAGAACCTTGAGAGTGGAAAATTGCTTATATCATCAGTCTCAGATATGTTGATTATGCTGATATGAACTGATTTTTTTTCTTTTTATTCTTTAGAACAAGGGTTGATTAACTGGGTACAGGAAACGAAGGGATTTATTCCAAAATAAAGGTGATATAAAAACAAAAGGTCCTTTTTTTTTTAAGAAAGTAGCAGCTATCAACTCATCGACCGTGGACGTATCTGTTAATGCCGTTTTGCTAATAGGATATTTCATGAATTGACAATTCTGAGTCCCAACTTAACCAGTATCAAAATAAGAATAAAGGAAAATAGGCCTAGCAGAACTTTGTAATGTCAGTTTATAATTTCTTAGCCTGTAGGTAGAACACACAACATGTAGAACACACTATGGTTTTACTGACCTTGTCATAGCTTTGACCTATTAGCTGATTACATGGTAAAAGAGTGGATGAGTAGTAAGGCAAAGAAGGAGTGGCAGTTGTATAAGTAATGATTTAGCCATTATCTTGGTCTATATCCTAAAGTCAAAAGCTAATGCCCCTTTTGAAATATCTGCTTGTTCTGGAGAGTGATGCAGTAGTAGCATTAGATTTGACAATAAAAATAGGATTCTCTAGGCTTTGAGAGATGTTCTCAAATAACCACAGAATGGAGGACCACTCTTTCATTTCAGCTTGCCTATATATTAAGTAGGCCTGACCCTGTAGCTCAGATGGAGCATCACCTGTGAAAAGTCAGTGCCCCAACTATGAGGAAGAGATTTGAGTTATTTTACTAGAGCAAGAGGATAATGTATCACTTGAGTGAGGTCTCAAAAAAAGCAACCATAACCACACATTATTTGGAGGGAAATGATGAGAGCTGGATCTCAGTATCCATGATGGATAGTTCCTCCATGATTCAGAGTTGGGTGTGTACTCCTTATAAGTGAAGAATAACCTGGCCTGGAAGTTGGGGTAGGGTGATAGACACTGGAGTTTACTCTAATGGTTTCTCCCTATATAAAAGATATTTAAGTTTACAACTGCCTGGCCCCGTGTATCTCTTAAATATTATATTTTTTTCTAAAATTTTAGTGACGCTTTTTGCTTTTGCCATTGCATTGGTTTCTATATATATCCTCTGTCCCCTACTCAGTTAAAGCTTCCCTTGTTAAGAAAGGTTAAACAATTTTTTAAGCAAAACCAACACATCAGCTAGGTCTGACAGGATAGACAAATTTCCATATCCGTAGTACCCCACATAACTATCAAAAGGAAGAGGATACAGTTTCTTATCTATTTGGTGCTGAGCTTGCTCAGTATAATTACAGAACAGTCAGTTTTGTTGTATTCTTTTTGTATGTTGTAATCACGTATGTCGTTTTCCTGGTTTCTTGGTTCTGTTTACTTTGCATCAGTTCATAGAGAAGTCTTCCCATGTTTATTTGAATTCTTCATAATCACCTTTTAGTATTCCATTCCATTTGTGTACTACAGTTTATCAATCCATTCCCTAGTTGATGGGTACCTTTTTATTTCTAGTTCTTTGTTACCACAAAAGTGCTGCTGTTAATATTTTTGTATATATGAGACCTTTCTTTTTTTACTTCCTTGGTGTATTATATATGTAGCAATAGGATCTCTATGTCAAAGAGTATAGGCATTTGAATCATTTTTTTTCTTCTTTTTTGTTGTTGGATAATTCCTAGTCATTCTCCAGAATGTTTGGACTAATTCATAGCTCTGCTTTCTTCCACAGCATCTCTAATATTGAGTAATTGCATCTTTGCAGGTTGGCTGCATGTGAGGTGAAAACCTGAGTGTTTTTTCATTTGCATTTTTCTTCTTAGTGATTTTGAACGATCTATATAGTTTGTAGGTATTCTTTTGAGAACTTGTTCATATTCTTTGACTCGTCTATTGGAGAATGATTCTCCATCCCATGTCTGTGTCAATTTCCTATATATTTTGGATATCATACTTCTATCAGAGAGATATTTAACTCAAAACAATTTTTCCCCAGTCAGCAGTTTCCCTCCTTGTCCTCATTGCATTTTGTTGATGCAAAAGCATTTCAGTTTCATGTAGTAGAAATTGTCTAATATAGTGTAAAGAGCACTGACTGGATATAGAGGACACCAGTTCCCATCCCTCTTCTGTGTGATCTTGGGTAAGTCACTTCACCTCCTTAGACCTGTTTCTCACCTATAAAATGAGGAGGTTGAACTAAATGGCTTCCGAGGTCCCCATTGGCTCTAGATCAGTGATCCAATGATCTTTTGTAATTGCATCTATCCCTGTGGTTTCATGTTTTCCTCCTAGTCATAATTGTGAAAAGCAGTTCCATTTTTGTCCACTTTTTAGAAATATTGTCTTTTATATTGAGGTTCCTTTGCCTCATGTATCTCATGGGTTGAACTGCCCCGAGTATGTGGGGGGGGGTAAGGGGTAGATGTTCTTGTGTTCACCACCTACAGAGGAAAAAGAATGGATAACTGGATAGAAGTTGGGCCTTTTCTGACGAAGGTGGTCTTGTATATATCCTTTCTCCCTAGATGTTATCACCACTTGCCTACAATGTAGGACAGTTTTTCCAGCCAATGGCAGAAACTAAGGATTGTGACCAGGGAGTGACTTCAGTGATTCATCTACACCCCAACTTGGAAGTCTTAAATCTGGTGGGCATCTTCCCTGGATACGTCAAAAACAGTGCCTCAAGCATATTGTTCTATGTCTGTGTTTTGGATTTCATTAGGAGCTCCTATGCTAGTTTGATTTTATGTTTATTTTTTTTTTTGTGATTTTTGCTAGGCAGTGGGGTTAAGTGACTTGCCCAGGGTCACACAGCTAGTAAGTATCAAGTGTCTGAGGTTGGATTTGAACTTGGGTCCTCCTGACTCCAAGGCCAGCGCTCTATCCACTGCACTATGTTATTCATTGCATATTAAGTAGTAATGCAGTGTATTTGAGAGGGGCTTTAGTGGCTGCACCTATGTATAGCAGGAATCAAAGGGTAAAATAATGCAGTCTGGCCAGATGGAGCATTGTCCCCTGTAGGGAGGAGGGGACAGCTAGGATGATCGATAGACTCATGCCTGCAGCACCTGCAATGTTGAAAGAAATTCTACCAACCCCTGTGTGTCTCCTTATCTGGTTTACTTATGACTGATACATTCAAAAGGTGCTTGGACTTTGTTTTTTAACCTAGGTTGGTGCATTTGAAAAAGGCTCCAGCTGCCTTTTATCACCCTGAGTATAAAACAGTGCTACCTCTCACAGTTGGACACTCAGACCTAGCCTGTAGTTTTGCACAGGGCTAGTTTTCCTGGAACATACCACCTAATATACTGCTTTGCTTCTCGGGGACCAGGATAGACAGCCAAGAAATTGAGTGGCCAGTGGAGCTGATTGACATATATATGTATATTTCCTTGTATCCTTTTGGTGCATACTACTAATACTTTGTATATTATCAATAAACCCCATAACCTTAGATTTAAGGAGTATGACTGCATTTCTATACTTTTGAGATGTAGATTTGGAATAACTTACTAGGTTTTTGATTTTGATTGCTGTCCCATTGGATGTGAGTCTCTTACTCAGTGTTCTGCTCTTCTTTTTGTTCTGGACAACTCTTTTCTCCCTAATTCTCTTTCCTTTTGGACTGTTCTTGTGCTGTGACATCCTCTCCTTTTATCCCCAAGGTTTGTGAGCTGGGCTCACCTAGTCTATTTGTGGATACCTTCTCAACATCTGTTTGATAACTTCATCACCTGATAACACTAACACCTTATGAATCAGTCAAAGGCAAAGTTTTTTATTTTTAAAACACCTGTTGCAGAGACACTATGGATATTGAGCACATGGCATAGAGAAACTTCCCACAACTTGCATCAGGGCTACAAGAGGTTAGTAAGAAAGTTTTCAAAGTGATTTTATTGCCCTTTCAAGTTTCCTGGGTTTTCACTTTTTTGCCCAGGGAAACCATGGGTGAGAAAATGGGCTCTGTGGGGCTACCTCCCATTCTATTTCCATTTGCTATCTCTAGATGCCAATCTCTAAGAAGATTAATGTCATTTAGGGTAGGCATGCTGTCCTTGGTGCTCTCTTTCTCATTCCTAACTTAAGTAATTTAAAATGCTGCTATTTCAACTGGTCTTTTTAAAAAAAAAACCGCTGAAAGAAATCAGTGGAGCCTTCTCTCAGTCTCTTTTGCTGTCTTTCCCATCTCCAGCTAGCAGGATATTTGAAAGGCTGTGATCGCTAAGTATGTTAAAGGCAAAGGCCATGCCTTTTCCATTGATTTTATGCAATAAGTAGCTGCTTTAATATTTTTTACCCAGAGCATGAAGCTTCCTTTAGTTT